GCGACCAGGTGCCCACCGCCATGTGTTCCGGCCCGCGCGGGGGGCGGGGGGGGGCGGCACGGATCAATTTTCGCACCGGGGCCCCATGGGTCATGTGTACGCCACTGCTTCCCAGCCACGATATATGTGGGTAGGACCAGTCTGTTAGTTCTTTCCTGAGTATATTTAGCATGGGGGTGAAGTTTTCCCTATATAGGTCTCCCTTTTGTTTGGTCAGCCATCTACCCAGGTAGCGTATTTTACTTTCCGCCCACTGGAATGGGAAACTTGCTCTTAGGGGGAAGGCTCGGCTGTGGGGCAGATCAGCGTTCAGGATCACACACACACTTACAGTCGCATACACACTAGCTAACAGACACGTGCGCCGTGGGTCCGTCATACATGGCCTCGACCCATCTGCGCACGTAGGGTCCGAGACCCACGTGAGTAAGGATCTGGAACAAGTACTCCCATCTCACCCTGTCGAAGGCCTTCTCTGCATCTGTGGACAGCAGAAGAAGGTCCTCCGTGTCTCTTTTCTTGTTATGCATGAGGGCAAGGGCCCTTATGGTGTTATCCCTCGCCTCGCGGTTTGCCACAAACCCGACCTGGTCTGGGTGGACCAGTGTGGGGATATGTGGCTGTAGGCGCATAGCCAAGATCTTTGCCAGCAGTTTGATATCGCAGTTGATAAGGGAAATGGGTCTGTAATTCCCACAGTGCTCTACGTCCTTGCCCTCTTTCGGAATGATGGTTATGTGCGCCGTCAACGCCTGCTTGGGGAAGCGGTGACCTTCTCTCACTGCGTTAAACTTGGCCAGCATCGGTTGGTATAGTTTGTCTGCGAAGCGTTTGTAATAGCAGAGTGGTAGGCCATCAGGGCCCGGGCTCTTGCTTGGTTTGGTGTGTTTTATTGCGAGTGCTAGTTCCTCCATGGTGATGGGCTCATCTAGTTGGTCTGCGACCTGTTTATCTAATGTGGGTAGTTTGTGTGTTAGCATGTATTGTTGAATGGAATTTCTGAGGTGAGTGGTCGCTGTTTCTGATAGAGGTTGGGGGAGCGAGTATAGTTCTGAGTAGTAGGCTCTCACTGTTTTCAGTATCTCTGTTGGTAGGCGGCGTAGTGAGTCTTGTTTGTCTCTCTTGATTTTGTCGATGTATGTTAGTTGTCGTCGTTTTGTCAGCATTCTGGCTAGGAGTTTGCCGCTTTTGTTGCCATGTATGGAAAAGAAGGCCTTGTGTCTAATCGCGTCCCTATGGTGTTTAGAGTGGAGTAGTGAGGTCAGTTCGCGTCGTAGTTGTAAAAGTCGTGTTTGGTGGGATGGGTGTAGTGCTTGTTTATGTAGCGTGTCATGTTTGTGTATGTCCTCTATAAGTTTGGTGAGTCAGGTGTCTCTTTGTTTTTTGAGTTCTGCACCTTTCTGTATGAAGTGTCCTCGTATTACGCTCTTGTGTGCCTCCCACCTGATTGTCGGGGAAGTGTCTTCGGGCGTATTGTCTTGGAAATAGTCCGTCAAGACCTTTCCGAAGTGTTCGGCTAGGTCTTGGCGTGACAGCATGTATTCATTTAGTCTCCATTTAGTTATCGTAGGTCTGAGAAGTGGGGACCTAAGAGTGAGGGTGGTGGAGGCATGATCCGACCAGGTCGCCACTCCTATGTCCGTGTCTCGTACCAACGGGAGGTGATACTGTGTCGTGAGAAAGTAGTCTATGCGGGTGTATGTCCGGTGGGGATGGGAGTAGAAAGTGAAATCCCGTTCGTCTGGGTGATGTGCTCTCCAGCAGTCAACTAGTCTGTGTTTGGTCAGTAGGGATTTGATCGCGTTGAGATGCTGTTTGGGGATGTGTGATGTTCTTGTGGAACAGTCCCAGACCGGGTCCATTGCTATGTTTAAGTCGCCCCCCTATTATGAGGACCCCTTCAGCGAAGGAGTGTAATTTGTGTAGGGTACATTTAAGATAGCGGTGTTGTTTATTATTTGGTGCATATAGCGTGGCGAAGGTGTATAGGTGTTCGGCCACTGTGCCTTTTATAAAGAGGTATCTACCTTCTCGGTCCGTCATGCTTGCCTTTTCCACGAATGGAACTTTTTTGCTGATCAGTATTGCCGCTCCCCTAGATTTCCCCCCATGGAAGTCGCTGTAGTACCCTAATGGGAAGTGGTGGTTGGTCAGCTTAGATCTGTCCCCTTCTCGAAAGTAGGTCTCCTGTATCATTACTATTGAGGCCTTCCGTGCATGCAAGTCCCTCAGTGCCCCTGACCTTTTCTCTGGTTTGTTGAGCCCTTTGGCGTTTATGGAGAGGATGGTGAGGTCGCTCGGTATCAGCGTCATGTCAGTTGTAGTGGAGCCCGACTGTGTCGGTGTGTCCGGGGTCTGTCGGGTCGTCAGGTGGGTGGGGGGTGGGGTAGGACAGGGGAGCCGGGGAGGGGCTGGGAAGGGGATGAGAGGAACGCGGGAGGGGGAAACTATATACAGAAAAGATCCTGTCACTTGAGAGTGACGGTTTAGGAACGAGCGTCGGAGGGCAAGGCCAGGCTGGGTCCACCAGTGGTCCGCCAGGGCCCGCCCGCCTCTCTACGGGCGCTCAATCCTATTGGGGAAAGCAGAGGAGGCCGGGAGTCCCCGCGTAGGCTCCGTCCGGGGGGTCTGGTGTCCCGGCAGCTCCAATGGGCAGAAGTGGTCTGGGTGCCTGGAGTGTCCTTTTATTTTTTAAAATTTTTTGCAAATCTTTTTTTATTAAACATGTTCAGTTAACAGTAGATTTGTGAAGAAATAGTTTCTTTTTTCAAAATGGTAAATGTACAGAATATCGGTATCAGTAAGTTATCGGCTATAGGCCTCAAAGTTCACAGATTATCGGTATCTGCTCTAAAAAATCAATATCGGTCGATCCCTAATAAGTACTATCTATTTTTTGTACATCTGAATCATATATATTTCTCCTCTTACAGAGGGGTACCTACTGATTTAAATATTATTATTGTCTACTGTTTTCTTGTTTTAGTAATACATGTGTCAGAGAGGGGTTCTGTAGATTTTTGCAGTATTTAATTACCCTGCCCCCTTTCTGTACTTACATTAAACTTTCCACTTTGGGCTGCAACATGCTGCTTCTGTATAAATTGAAACTGTTGCAGTTTTTCTCCCATTTGGGAAGTTTATGTTATGAACAGTTACAAGAACTAGATACATTATTTACTTAAGAGGTTTATTTACATTGAGGGGAATTGTTTATTCATTTTTTGTTTCATTGTTTAAGCTGCTGTATTTCATTAAAGGCACATTTATTATTGTTTTTACCTATAGGAACATTATTTGTTTCTTTTGTCCACTACATTTCTGGAGCCTACATACTATATATTTTGAATTTAAGATTACTATTTGCCAAGTGGCTTTTCTGTATGTAGCTGCCCATCTCATTGATTAAATTGGTTACCACTTTTTATCTATTTACTAAGAAGTTAACGATGGAGGGTCCACTTTGTGTGCTTTTTGATACCCATTTCACCTTAGTGAGTAATACTGACAGATTCCAAGTGTTGTGGACAAAAATATTACCCCAATTTATATTACTAAAATGCCTATTTACTCAACATAACTACAATCAGCATTATCCAATTTTCTATGTGATTTACCTAAAATGGCTGCTAGGGAGTTTCCCCTTCAACATCGACTAACACCCTCATTAACAAGATGGCGCTGGAATCTGGGGGAGACCTCCACGATACCAGTGACATCACCCCCAGTAGGCAGAGCATTAAATGAACCACTTAACACCTAACCAATTATTGATGTATTATTCCGTGTTATCTCTGACAATGCCTATGATGTAATTTTGCTTTATAAGGGGCATAGTCCCCCCCTGAATAAACGTTCCTCAAGTTTTTCATTAAACCGAAACCTGTGTCTGGTGCACGCATTATTTCTTTAATTTGGCCGGGGCAGATACACAAGATAATCAATTTATTGATTGATATCCATATCACCAAGTATATATTTTATTAGTAAGTTATTTACATTGCAACAGTTCCAGTGTACTGCAATGCACTATTCTGCTGCAGAGCAGATAATATACTATTGTAATAAATAAGAATGTGCTGGTTTTCGCCAAGACACCTGGTGAGCCGTCCGTTTAGTCTCTATTAACTTATAAATTATATTAAAGTAATAATAATAGAACCTATTGGGAACTATTTTGTCTGTCCCTCACTGAGGTTCGCTGCGGAAGGAAACTTTAACGGTGAAACGTCTTTCGCTTACGTCACAGACAGGAGGTTATAATAGGCAGTGCCACGGCAACCGCTCCTTAGTCACGTCGCAGTATCGAAGAAGGTGTGCAGCGCTCCGGACCAAGAAGAGGATCTTCAACGGCTGATCGCTTTTACGTCGTTATTTCATGTTTTACTTTTATTTATCAGCTGTTTTACACGCTCAGCTGTTTTACACGCTCCATCGCCGGTTGTAGTCTCCGCAGGTATTTCAAGCTAAATTCCAGCTGCTCAATATAGATAACACTGACCACAGCCATAGGTTTTATATGTATCCGAGGGGATAAAAACTAGATAAAGTATGGAGGGGATAAAAATTATATTTATACTGTATGGAGGGGATAAGTTATATTTATACTGTATGGAGGGACTATTTATATTTATACTGTATGGAGGGACTATTTATATTTATACTGTATGGAGGGACTATTTATATTTATACTGTATGGCGGGGATAAAAGGTCTACATATAAATTACACGGAGGGGGTAATAATTCTACCCATGTAATGTATTTATTGTTAAATCCGATAACAGCAGCTATACCGCCCGGTTAATGTTTATTAATATTTATTATGATTGCTTTGTGGGCGGATAGTTGTATCGTGTTATAATCACGGTGTATAATTGGGGATATAATCTGAGTAATATTTAAAGTCCCCGATTATTATTATTATTAATAGTGAGATTACCTCACGGTCTGTGATCCGCACGGTGTTAATAACATTTAATAAATCTCTAAACCCGTGTTAATAAAGATGGGGATTAATCCGCGTTACAGTTTATAATTTCCTATATAAACTAGATTAGGTTTTTATTACAGCCGGGAATAGTGATTATTTATTATTCCGACACACAATGTACAAGGAATTCCCCGGTTTCTGACGACGCCCTGTTTTTACTGATAAAGATGGCCGCCGAGCTTCTCTGTGGGGGCGGGGATTACTCATTGTCGTGTAGTCATTTTCTTTGTGACGCGCATGCTCTGTATTAGACCATTGATTGGTTCACACGGATTAGGGGCGGGGCTAAATGCTAAAGTAGTGGGATGGTTTATGTGCAGCCCTCCCACTCACTGATCCAGACAAGGCATTGTCTAGATTTATTAAACAGAATAGTAATTTGTCATTATGGTAGAATGCTGGTGTTATTTTGAAGCAGCTGGAATTTAGTGAGAATTTGTGGAGCTTTAAAATGGTTGATAAATGTACATGTGCTAATATTTTCTATCAGATTCATTGAGCGTGGACCATCTAAGCATGTCATGCAATGGGAGTTGCCAACACAAAGACTTTGTTACAGATATGAACTTTCGAAATGCTGAAATTGATGACCATCACCAGCCGCCCACTTACGTTTTGAGTGTTTATAAAATGAGGATTTTATCTGAGATCTGGTATTTTCGTTCCGGTTTTCCAAGGGAATGTAGCTATTTGCTATAACTCTATGTGCAACTTTGTAGCATGTCCATATTGTAATGCAAGTATTGGTTTCACTGTTCATTAATAATTTAAATTGCACAACCTGTAACTATTTTTTGAACATATTGCTTACTTTTTAATGTTCTAATTCATACTGCATTTGTGTTTAGATAACTGTATTTATGTAAAACTTGACCATAATCCTCCTTATTTTTTAACTTCACCTCACTCCCAAGTCTGAGTTAGTTATTTACAGTTTTTTGGTAACCATTTAGCTATTTTGTTTGTTTGCTTCTGTCAGCGTATAGCTTCTCATAAATGAAATCCACACCATCCTGAAGATTCAGCATCCTCTGGTGGGTGGCCATTATGCTGTTACAACCCTTTGGTAAGCACACACTGCATCCCAATGGCTAGGCTGCAGACTTGGCTATCAAGAATTCACTGGGTCATTATAAGGCACCCTTTTTGGTAAGCACTCAAGTAAAAAGTTATCCACCTGGTTTCCAATATTCATCACTTGAGGGATTTAATTATATTCCTTCAATATGTTTACTTTAGCAGTCCATATCAAGTTTCCACCAATAGCAGCTGCTTCAGCTGAGTAATTTTTAATTTTAGATCTAGGCTAATAACTTTTTTCCCCCAGTGACCGCTGATTACTTCTCAGGCGTCATTCTCACAATTCCCTATTAATACATAACGTTAGCAGTTTAGAATTGTAACTATTCTTGGTTTCCAGTTTTAATAAATCCCAATATCTTCCAACAAGACAAACTATACTCCTATGTAGTCTACATCCCTTCCTATACACGTGCTGAAATGTGGCAAATACTTTCACGTATTGCCTTCAAGTAACCATACTTTTCTGTGGTTTGTCCTGCTAGTTGTAACACATGTGGATGTTTTGAATTCCTTCCTAGGTAGTTTTCTTACTACCACAGTCAGGTGTTTCTCAGTGCATCAGATGGTTCCTTCTGCATATGCTCTGGTAAAGATGTATTTCCAAGTAAGATCTTTCTTTGTTGTATTTTTGCAATGTTTTATGAATGTATATATTGGAAATCTGTAAAATTAAGTTTAATTAAAATGTACAGAGTTACAACTGTTTCTATGTCTCATTGCTGGGAGGTTATACAAACCTTTTGGTGGTTATCTTTCAGGTAAACGCGACATGTCCTCACTTGTTCATATTGTGTTCCACCTCTATCAATGGACCAGAGTTCCTAAAGATGCTAAGTACTTTACAACCTTTTAAACAAAACAAAAAAAAAACTAGTGCACATTAATTGGTTATAATGGGTACATATCATTTATTTATTTTTTTAAAAAGTTTTAATGGGTTGTCTTATCAAACTGACTATGACTTCAGTTTCTGAACAATGTTTGGTTTAATTTCCTTGGACAGGTTACTTGTTCTCAGTGGAGGATGTGAACAGTCAAAGCACTAAAGTGAGCAGCATCTCTGGCAGATAAGTCTGTGGAAAGGTCTGCGACATTGCATGTATTCTAGTATATTCACAACACCTGTGCAGAATACACATGCGGAAAACATTGTCTTCATATTAAGGCGAACATATCCACATAGGAGGGGCCTGGTGTAGGTGGACCATTTTCCCATCAGGCTGTGCTGACATTAAGCTTAATATCTGGCAAAGGCATATCTTTCATGTGACACTACTGGGTACTGTATTATCCTCAACTTGTTTTGTCAGTAGCTATTTTTACAGCCACTATTTTTCCAACCATTAAATTCAGGGTGTTATCTCCCATACAGGACAAATATATAATTTATTCTCAAGTAATGCATGAGTTTGCATTTTAACAGTATCAATTTTGTAACCCTGAAATTGCTTGATTTATAGTTTAAATAAATCCCTTTGCATTTAGCTAAATGCACTGTTATTTGCCTTCAGTTCATACAGTGCTTTTTAAATTTATATATATATATATTTTTTATTCAAAATGGATTTGGGTCAGCTAAGATGCAGCCTTAGATTATATGAACTTTAAATAGCTGTTATTCTTGACTCCCTTATAGGTGACGCTTGCCAGTTCCTACAGGAATAGAATTTTTTTTTTTCTCCATGCATGTTTTTCAGATAGTTCTTTGTTCAACATTTTTCTTTCCTGGTTTTACCAAGCCCATTCACCGTAGGATGATTTGCAGATAACCAGCTCTTCAAAAGAAAGATGCTTTCAAATGAGGCTTACATACGGTTTGACAGGGTTCTGGTCATATGAAGCATTTCAAAGGTATTCAGATATGTGGCTGTATGTCACAGTTTCTATCTTCAAATATGGCTATTGTACATATTGCTTTTACACTCCCCCCATCAATAGGAATACATCATGCCATAAACCATATAATAAACATTATTATAGTCCCTTTTAAGTTACAATAACTGGATTTTCTTTCCTTTCATGTTTTTAAAGCTGAAATTGTTTTTGGCACTCTAGAAACCGCTTCACTGGGAGAACATACTTCTGGTGGTCTGGTATCCCTTGTAGGAATTCTTGAACTGCACTAAAGTGTCTTCCAAGAAGGGTCCATATTATCACATTACTGCCAAGCAGTCTAGTTTCAAGACCCTGCCAAGAGGTCCATAGTACCAAGTCAGTTCCAGAAGGTCCATATATCAGCATTTCTTAAGTGTTCTTCCTAGACTACAAGTTACTGAACATTACACAAGTCTCAAAGGAATTCAGGTATGAGGATTTGGATACTAGTTATGTGAATGGTGATTTCAGTTCGACATGGAAAATCTTGCAAAGATCACTTTACCTAAGTCAATATATGTAAATTAGTTTTATCATACTGGAAATTTTGCTGGCGATCATTAAACTTTTGCCTGCAACTTCAGATAAGTCAGTTAAATCCAGGTAACATATTTTGTTAGCAGGTCTGCCTGTTAACGAAGTCTCAAGTTCTAATTGTGATTAGCTTCAAAATCGTTTTAAGTGAAACTCCATTAATACTTTGCAGTTGTGGGTCAGTGGACTTTTATCATATGGGAGGGAAAACACATTTATAAATATCTCAAATTAATCTGTATTTTCATAATTTAATAAGTTTGTCTCAGTTTCAAAGCTTAGTATTTCCAAATGATAAATCTGAAGTACAAAGTTTAAACAAGTAAAAGTGACAAACAGAAATCACCTATATATGCGCACATACAAATGTGCTTACGTTAAATAAGCTACGTTAAATTGAAAGTTCACTAGGACTGGGCAAGCAAAATGATCAAAGTTAGATGCTTTGTCATCACCCTATAGATAACGGGTGCTGCCTGTCATGGTATGAGCTAGCTGCACATTCTATTCAAGTCAATAGTTTTAATGCATGTAAACATTTCTAAATAAAGCAAAATTGACTTATCCTCAAAAGGAATAGGAGCTTACTCTAAAACAATCTCATCTTGAGTTTCACAGCAACAAATTCTGTTTAACAGTAGTGGTTAGAGCCAGCTTCGATTATACTACACATGCAAGCGTTGTGATGACTTGAGACAATGCCCAAAGACTGGGGAAGAAGAGTGCTCTTTAGTAAGGTAGGTGTCTCTTGATAGATGCCAATGTAAAATGGCAGTATGCGTGATCTTAAAGATCCCTAAGTACTCACATTAAAAGATGGTGTTTCTGTTTGAGTGAAACATTGGGCTACTATGATGAGAACTTAATGTTAAAAAAAGGTATATGAAAATATATATAATTTTCTGGATACATCCATGACAGCACTACAGATGGGTATCTTCTCCATGTCCTTAATTACAGCATAACGCCTGGTCGCTAATGGTAGAATCGTCAAGGGGGTTTGTACATGTACTTGTGTGCATTGTTGGGATATTATGTTGAGAACCTAATTTTAATATATACTGTTCCGTAAAGGCAGGGGACACATTTTTGCTTAGGTCTGGAAAAACCTTTAAAAACATTAAATTATATTAACAAGGCACATTAGTAGCAACTGATGGCAAACTGAAAAAAAATACATAAAATGATTTCACTGATTTAACATGATTTTGTTGCATTCCAGAATTATGCAGCCCTGCCCTAACATGTTGAAAGTGGAAAGGAAGGTACTATAGAAGTATGATACAGGTTGGAAATCTAATCATTCATGAGAATGGATCAAAACACATAAGAAAATTATATTAACTCAATGTAACTTAGGCCTGCAACTACAATCTACCCAACTAATTTAACTAAAGGCATCAGTTAAGAAAAGTTACTATATTTAAAGATAGTATGAGGAACAATATATTAAATTGTGAGTGGGCATCTTGTATAATTACACTACATACACGTTTTCTAGCAGAAATAATGTTAATTTGTAATTGTCCTGTTTATAGTTACATCCCTCTCATAATATTATAAAGCGCTACAGAATCTGTTGGCGCTATATAAATGGCGATAGTAATTTATTTACACAAATGCTCATTTTTAGTCATGATTCATTTAGAAATTGATCCAATGGTAAAATAATTATAAAATGCAGTAGTAAGGTTGTTCTTTGACCTGTGAACTAAAATATAAATAATGAGAACCTCTTTCGAAAAAAACTCTACAAAAACATTTTTTTTAGAAAACCATGTGTTTAAGAAATTGGGTATCAAGATAAAAAAAGCCTGGCCATGTAAAAATTGCTTTTCAGGGTTATAGGATTATATAACCTTAAAATATTGCAGTTTAAGAAATTTTTACAAAGTATGGCTTCACTATTGGGGATGAAAAGAGAACATTGCATAATACAGGTTTTATTAGCATGAAGTGGTTTGGACCCTATTGAAAGGAAATGTTTGTTACATTGCAGGAATACGAATTTATTAAAAGTAGGTATGCTCAGTATATTACATTATTAAAAAATAAAAAAAAGCAATCCATGAATTCACTTCTAGTATTTTACAAAAAAGACACATTAAGATGTCTGTCTGCTGTTATAAGTGAAGGGTCATCTGGTTTCTGTTAGGTTAACCTGAATCAAATAACAAACAAAAGCATTTTCTGAACATCATCTGGAGACACAAAGAAGAGAAGAGTTCCTCTACCTGCAGAGAAATGGTAATTTGTAAGAGCCTTTCTATTCCTAGATTAGAAAACAAAAGATAAGAGCAGGGGAGAATATCATTGCTAAATGCCAAATGAAATAAAGGGGATTCCGAAAGAGATGCTGACATTACAAAACAATCTGAGAAGTTTCCATCAACAGAAAAAAAAAAGTTGAATTCTTAACAATTGTCAGGTGAGCAATGTTCTGTTAATTGAAAGGCTTTTCAAGGAAGAAGTTGACACTACCTATCATGGATTAAGATAATTTCTCCATCATACCATTTGTTTTTGTTTCTATGACGAAATGCAAAACCGTATTTCTTTATAACAGCTTTATTCCAAGACTATTTTTTTTTTTTTTTTAAATGATAAAATATAAGTCATGATATTGTTGAGATGTTTTGATAATGTGGAGGATAAATCCTCTTCTTATTTGATTTCCTGAGAGATGTATACTTGTTTTTAAGGGAAGAAGCACACACACATATATATATATATATATAATCTAGTTGTCTGACTGGCATTTATTACAAGAGTCACCATATGGAGAAATGAATCACTTGTTGATGGATCTTCGGTTATTGTCAGGTGGGCATTGTGTCCTGTTTTAATTAGTTTCAGCGTCTCCTGAAGAGCTTTCGAAGTAACCCAAAACACAAACAATTGTTGAATCCATAAAAGTATGAAAATTGCTGATGTGATGGGAGAGAAATGTGTTGAAATATGTGGGATGTGTAAGAACCTCTCTAAAACTGTATTTTAAAAGTAAAGTTGTTTGGAGAAATATGTTGGTGCACTGCATAAATGCAGCATGTCATTTGGGGTAAGAGGATAGAGCCTGTTTGTGGTGACTGGTTGCTCAGAAGCCCTCATATGCTGTTAGTAGAAGTGGATCACTTGCTGGTCAATTATCAGGTGAGTTGTGTGTCATCTTAATGAATTTCTGAGTCTATTGAGGTTGTTGGGAAAGCAGCTTTGGGTCTAGAACAGGGTTTTCCAAACTCTGGTTATTTTCCTCAAATAATCATGTGAGTTTTGGTTTAGCAACATCTGGAGGGCCAAGGAATCATAGAAGTTGTAGTTCAGCAACATGTGGACGGGCCACAGTTTGAAGAACCCTTGTATAGCAGGAGACTACAAATTGTGAGTGAATCCATGAGTTACAGAACATGGTTGATGTGATTGGAAAGAGAAATGTATAGAAATGTGTGGGAGATCTGTCATTTGCTTTATCATTCACAGGCTTCAGGGAAAAACTGGCTGGCTAGGTCTCTGTTGCTTTCTTCTTTAAATGTAATGGATTTTGTTGTGTAAAAGTATGGGATAATATTTGTATTGTTGTGGCGGGAGGGTTGTTTCTTTTTTCTTTGAAACTAATGGGTAGTGTAAAAAAAAAAAAAAAAAGGAGAATAGCATCTTCTATAGAGAAATTAAAATGTAAGAACCTTTGTATTCTACTTTTCCAAAAGTAAAGATGTTCTTGGGATAAAGTCAGTACAATGTATAATTTCAACATGTCCTTGTGGGATGATGGGAAAGAGCCTCTTTGTGTGCCTGTCTATGTAGTTTGCTGCTTGACAGATATCTCAAGAGTCGCCATATGCAGTACGAAGAATTGGACAACGTACTATTGGATCTTCATCGGTTTTCAGGTGAGAATTGTTTTTGATGAGTTTCAGAGTCTCTTAAGAAGTTGGAAAACAACCTTTGGTCTAGGAGGAAGAACTACCAATTGTGAGTGAATCCATTAAAGAATGAAATTGGCTGATGTGATTGGAAAGCGAAATGTTTGGAAATAGGTGGGATGTGGGAGACCTGTCGTTTGCTTTATGATTCACAGGCTGAGGATTTCTTCAGGGGACAACTGGCTAGCTATAGAGGTCTGTGTTGCTTTCTTCTTTAAATGTAATGGATTTTATTGTGTAAAAGTATTGGATAATATTTGTATTGTTGTTGCGGGAGGGTTGTTTCTCTTTTTTTTTTCTAACCAATAGTTTCAAAGAAGAGAAAATAGCGTCTTCTTCTATAGAGAAATTGAAATGTAAGAAACTTTCTATTCTGCTATTCCAAAAGTAAAGATGTTCTTGGGATCAAGTCAGTACAATGCATAATTTCAACATGTCCTTGTGGGATGATGGGAAAGAGCCTCTTTGTGTGCCTGTCTATGTAGTTTGCTGGTTGACAGATATCTCAAGAGTCGCCATATGCAGTACCAAGAATTGGACAACCTATTATTGGATCTTCATCGGTTTTCAGGTGAGAATTGTTTTTGATGAGTTTCAGAGTACTTCAAGAAGTTGGAAAACAACCTTTGGTCTAGGAGGAAATCCTACCAATTGTGAGTGAATCCATTAAAGAATGAAATTGGCTGATGTGATTGGAAAGAGAAATGTTTAGAAATATGTGGGATGTGGGAGACCTGTCGTTTGCTTTATGATTCACAGGCTGAGGATTTCTTCAGGGGACAACTGGCTAACTAAAGAGGTCTGTGTTGCTTTCTTCTTTAAATGTAATGAATGTTATTGTGTAAAAGTATGGGATAATATTTGTATTGTTGTTGCGGGAGGGTTGTTTCTCTTTTTTTTTCTTCTAACCAATAGTTTCAAAGAAGAGAGAAGAGCATCTTCTTCTATAGAGAAATTGAAATGTAAGAACCTTTCTATTCTACTATTCCAAAAGTAAAGATGTTCTTGGGATAAAGTCAGTACAATGCATAATTTCAACATGTCCTTGTGGGATGATGGGAAAGAGCCTCTTTGTGTGCCTGTCTATGTAGTTTGCTGCTTGACAGATATCTCAAGAGTCGCCTTATGCAGTACGAAGAATTGGACAACGTATTATTGGATCTTCATCGGTTTTCAGGTGAGAATTGTTTTTGATGAGTTTCAGAGTCTCTCAAGAAGTTGGAAAACAACCTTTGGTCTAGGAGGAAGTCCTACCAATTGTGAGTGAATCCATTAAAGAATGAAATTGGCTGATGTGATTGGAAAGAGAAATGTTTAGAAATATGTGGGATGTGGGAGACCTGTCGTTTGCTTTATGATTCACAGGCTGAGGATTTCTTCAGGGGACAACTGGCTAGCTAAAGAGGTCTGTGTTGCTTTCTTCTTTAAATGTAATGGATTTTATTGTGTAAAAGTATGGGATAATATTTGTATTGTTGTTGCGGGAGGGTTGTTTCTCTTTTTTTTCTAACCAATAGTTTCAAAGAAGAGAGAAGAGCATCTTCTTCTATAGAGAAATTGAAATGTAAGAACCTTTCTATTCTACTTTTCCAAAAGTAAAGATGTTCTTGGGATAAAGTCAGTACAATGCATAATTTCAACATGTCCTTGTGGGATGATGGGAAAGAGCCTCTTTGTGTGCCTGTCTATGTAGTTTGCTGCTTGACAGATATCTCAAGAGTCGCCTTATGCAGTACGAAGAATTGGACAACCTATTATTGGATCTTCATCGGTTTTCAGGTGAGAATTGTTTTTGATGAGTTTCAGAGTCTCTCAAGAAGTTGGAAAACAACCTTTGGTCTAGGAGGAAGTCCTACCAATTGTGAGTGAATCCATTAAAGAATGAAATTGGCTGATGTGATTGGAAAGAGAAATGTTTAGAAATATGTGGGATGTGGGAGACCTGTCGTTTGCTTTATGATTCACAGGCTGAGGATTTCTTCAGGGGACAACTGGCTAGCTATAGAGGTCTGTGTTGCTTTCTTCTTTAAATGTAATGGATTTTATTGTGTAAAAGTATGGGATAATATTTGTATTGTTGTTGCGGGAGGGTTGTTTCTCTTTTTTTTTCTAACCAATAGTTTCAAAGAAGAGAAAGAGCATCTTCTTCTATAGAGAAATTGAAATGTAAGAACCTTTCTATTCTACTATTCCAAAAGTAAAGATGTTCTTGGGATAAAGTCAGTACAATGCATAATTTCAACATGTCCTTGTGGGATGATGGGAAAGAGCCTCTTTGTGTGCCTGTCTATGTAGTTTGCTGCTTGACAGATATCTCAAGAGTCGCCATATGCAGTACGAAGAATTGGACAACGTATTATTGGATCTTCATCGGTTTTCAGGTGAGAATTGTTTTTGATGAGTTTCAGAGTACTTCAAGAAGTTGGAAAACAACCTTTGGTCTAGGAGGAAGTCCTACCAATTGTGAGTGAATCCATTAAAGAATGAAATTGGCTGATGTGATTGGAAAGAGAAATGTTTAGAAATATGTGGGATGTGGGAGACCTGTCGTTTGCTTTATGATTCACAGGCTGAGGATTTCTTCAGGGGACAACTGGCTAGCTAAAGAGGTCTGTGTTGCTTTCTTCTTTAAATGTAATGGATGTTATTGTGTAAAAGTATGGGATAATATTTGTATTGTTGTTGCGGGAGGGTTGTTTCTCTTTTTTTTCTTAGTTTCAAAGAAGAAGAGCATCTTCTTCTATAGAGAAATTGAAATGTAAGAACCTTTCTATTCTACTATTCCAAAAGTAAAGATGTTCTTGGGATAAAGTCAGTACAATGCATAATTTCAACATGTCCTTGTGGGATGATGGGAAAGAGCCTCTTTGTGTGCCTGTCTATGTAGTTTGCTGCTTGACAGATATCTCAAGAGTCGCCTTATGCAGTACGAAGAATTGGACAACGTATTATTGGATCTTCATCGGTTTTCAGGTGAGAATTGTTTTTGATGAGTTTCAGAGTCTCTCAAGAAGTTGGAAAACAACCTTTGGTCTAGGAGGAAGTCCTACCAATTGTGAGTGAATCCATTAAAGAATGAAATTGGCTGATGTGATTGGAAAGCGAAATGTTTAGAAATATGTGGGATGTGGGAGACCTGTCGTTTGCTTTATGATTCACAGGCTGAGGATTTCTTCAGGGGACAACTGGCTAGCTATAGAGGTCTGTGTTGCTTTCTTCTTTAAAAGTATTGGATAATATTTGTATTGTTGTTGCGGGAGGGTTGTTTCTCTTTTTTTTTCTAACCAATAGTTTCAAAGAAGAGAAGAGCATCTTCTTCTATAGAGAAATTGAAATGTAAGAACCTTTCTATTCTATTATTCCAAAAGTAAAGATGTTCTTGGGATAAAGTCAGTACAATGCATAATTTCAACATGTCCTTGTGGGATGATGGGAAAGAGCCTCTTTGTGTGCCTGTCTATGTAGTTTGCTGCTTGACAGATATCTCAAGAGTCGCCTTATGCAGTACGAAGAATTGGACAACGTACTATTGGATCTTCATCGGTTTTCAGGTGAGAATTGTTTTTGATGAGTTTCAGAGTACTTGAAGAAGTTGGAAAACAACCTTTGGTCTAGGAGGAAGTCCTACCAATTGTGAGTGAATCCATTAAAGAATGAAATTGGCTGATGTGATTGGAAAGAGAAATGTTTAGAAATATGTGGGAGACCTGTCATTTGCTTTATGATTCACAGGCTGAGGATTTCTTCAGTGGACAACTGGCTAGCTAAAGAGGTCTGTGTTGCTTTCTTCTTTAAATGTAATGGATGTTATTGTGTAAAAGTATGGGATAATATTTGTATTGTTGCGGGAGGGTTGTTTCTCTTTTTTTTTCTAACCAATAGTTTCAAAGAAGAGAAGAGCATCTTCTTCTATAGAGAAATTGAAATGTAAGAACCTTTCTATTCTACTATTCCAAAAGTAAAGATGTTCTTGGGATCAAGTCAGTACAATGCATAATTTCAACATGTCCTTGTGGGATGATGGGAAAGAGCCTCTTTGTGTGCCTGTCTATGTAGTTTGCTGGTTGACAGATATCTCAAGAGTCGCCATATGCAGTACGAAGAATTGGACAACCTATTATTGGATCTTCATCGGTTTTCAGGTGAGAATTGTTTTTGATGAGTTTCAGAGTACTTCCAAGAAGTTGGAAAACAACCTTTGGTCTAGGAGGAAGTCCTACCAATTGTGAGTGAATCCATTAAAGAATGAAATTGGCTGATGTGATTGGAAAGAGAAATGTTTAGAAATATGTGGGAGACCTGTCGTTTGCTTTATGATTCACAGGCTGAGGATTTCTTCAGGGGACAACTGGCTAACTAAAGAGGTCTGTGTTGCTTTCTTCTTTAAATGTAATGGATTTTATTGTGTAAAAGTATGGGATAATATTTGTATTGTTGCTGTGGGAGGGTTGTTTCTCTTTTTTTTTCTAACCAATAGTTTCAAAGAAGAGAAGAGCATCTTCTTCTATAGAGAAATTGAAATGTAAGAACCTTTCTATTCTATTATTCCAAAAGTAAAGATGTTCTTGGGATAAAGTCAGTACAATGCATAATTTCAACATGTCCTTGTGGGATGATGGGAAAGAGCCTCTTTGTGTGCCTGTCTATGTAGTTTGCTGGTTGACAGATATCTCAAGAGTCGCCTTATGCAGTACGAAGAATTGGACAACGTACTATTGGATCTTCATCGGTTTTCAGGTGAGAATTGTTTTTGATGAGTTTCAGAGTCTCTCAAGAAGTTGGAAAACAACCTTTGGTCTAGGAGGAAGTCCTACCAATTGTGAGTGAATCCATTAAAGAATGAAATTGGCTGATGTGATTGGAAAGAGAAATGTTTAGAAATATGTGGGATGTGGGAGACCTGTCGTTTGCTTTATGATTCACAGGTTGAGGATTTCTTCAGGGGACAACTGGCTAACTAAAGAGGTCTGTGTTGCTTTCTTCTTTAAATGTAATGGATGTTATTGTGTAAAAGTATGGGATAATATTTGTATTGTTGCGGGAGGGTTGTTTCTCTTTTTTTTTTCTAGCCAATAGTTTCAAAGAAGAGAAGAGCATCTTCTTCTATAGAGAAATTGAAACGTAAGAACCTTTCTATTCTACTATTCCAAAAGTAAAGATGTTCTTGGGATAAAGTCAGTACAATGCATAATTTCAACATGTCCTTGTGGGATGATGGGAAAGAGCCTCTTTGTGTGCCTGTCTATGTAGTTTGCTGCTTGACAGATATCTCAAGAGTCGCCTTATGCAGTACGAAGAATTGGACAACGTATTATCAGATCTTCATCGGTTTTCAGGTGAGAATTGTTTTTGATGAGTTTCAGAGTCTCTTAAGAAGTTGGAAAACAACCTTTGGTCTAGGAGGAAGTCCTACCAATTGTGAGTGAATCCATTAAAGAATGAAATTGGCTGATGTGATTGGAAAGCGAAATGTTTGGAAATATGTGGGATGTGGGAGACCTGTCGTTTG